GGGTTTGAACCACCAGCCTTCTGGTTAGCAGTCAAGTGCCTATGCTACCAGAGCTCCCAAATAGTAATATAGAGAAGTTGTTTATAGAAAAGATAAATTGTTTTAAAATTCTCATTCAGAAAAAGAGGGAAGAAGAAAGGAAAGAGAGAAGAACACTGTTCTGGAGATCAGGAAGCTCTTCTCGGCTTGGACAATGATCACAGGAAAAAAATATAAAAACTTGAAAATTTTACACCAAGAAGAAAAGCTTCTATAAAAAAGACAGGCATCAGACTAGAAAAAAATTAACATTTATGACAAAGAGCATTTAATAATTTCATTGCTTGAAAGGGTGCTATCAAACATTAGGAAAAAAACCTTAAAGTTAGCAAAATCATCATATCTAATTAATGCAAACAAAAATGACTTGGAAAACATGCACAGTGTTCAGTCTCACTGGAGTTTCAAGAAACATCAACTAAAATACAGTAAAATCTGCAAAAGCTGGGACCTGTGTAAGGTGGAAACCTGTCAGAGAAGGAAAACTAAAATATTTTGAAGTAAAAAGAACAACAGAAAAATGGTAAGCTGTACCCAGTCTAGGCAGAAAACTTGTGAGACCCAGGGAAACAAGGAAGTCTCAAGTTCTAGCTCTCACAGGTTTCACTCTATTATTTTCCCATTAAATTTAGAACAAAACAACAACTAAAAAAAAATCTTACACGCAAAAACAAGGATATGATTTTTTAAAAAAAGGCCTATGTGTATTGCTAGTAGTAGCATAAGCTGATATAACCCTTTAGGAAAGGAATTCAGCATTCAGAAGTTTTTTCTTTTTATTTTTTTTTTAAAAAGTACTCTTATTTCCTTCTAGGTATTTATTATGAAGGAAAAAAATTCACACTCTAGCAAATTCTACATGCATGAAATTGTTCAAAACAGTATTAATTTTACAAACTACAAAACTGGAAAAGAATTTAAATTTTCTGACATTGAATATATGATTGACTTATGTGATAAATATTTATTCCAATATGAAAATCTGTGATTATGAAATCTATACAGCAGCATAGAAAACCACACTTATGATAAGTAGGGGTGAGGAGAAAGCAGGAAATACAATTAATACTCTAAGCACTTAAATTTTTGTATTTTATAAAAATTCGTACCTTTGTAATATAAAACTTTTTCAATCCATCCAAAAATGATGTAAAAATAGAGGAAACCTGAGGTTTAAGAGCATGACCTAAAGAAGATAGAAAAAAAAAAAGGTTTGCATTTTAAATTAACAGCACACTGTATTTTTCAAAATGACAAAAGGCTACCTCACTTAGGCATCCTAAAAGAAAGGGAAGGTTTCTATGACTTTAATTTTTCTATTTCCCTGTTATATATTTATTTTAAGACCTATTATCTTCTTTCAAAAGTCACATACAACTTTTTATTTACAAAATGACTTCTCATTTTTTTCTATGCTACAGGCTTTATTGTGTTTTGACTTCTCATTTTTTAAGTCAAATTACACTATGTAATTAATAGTATATATACTTACCTTTAACAGCATGGATTATACATAAAATCACTTCATTAATTTTTAATTTACTAAAAACATCCAATAGTGGCTGGTTTTATTTTTGTTTTGTTTGATTATACAGACACCATTGAGAATGACAAGCAAATACAGAGTCAATGCCAAGCTTAATGTCGTTTCTTAATTAATTCTTAATTCATGCAAAATTCTTGGCATAAAACTAATAATTGGTTTCTTAATCAAACCCAGAGAATTAAAATGGCCAAAAAAGCTTAAATGGTGTGTCAGTCAGTTAAATTAACATCTCTGCCTGAGGATTGAGCTTAATTGAGCAAAAGTCTCTTATTATTTTTCCGTTGTTTTCAGAGTAGCAACTTCCACACTCTTGGGACTGTAACCTTGAAAAGTCATTTACCTGGCTTCACACTGAATTCAATGTAAAAAAATGTAGGGGTACTATTTACACAGACTTTTTATGAAGAACTTTAAATATTCAGTAAATATAAAATTATCTTCAAATAAAATACTTATTATTTTTTTTTTTAAAGCTTTAAATATTTGGGAGTTTTGTTTTTTAAATAAATAAATAAAAAAAAAACACCCTACTCCCATTGAATCTATTCAGATACATAATGATCCTATAGAACAAAGTAGGACTGTCCCACAGTTTCCAAGGTTGTAAATCTACACAGAAGCAGACTGCTTCATCTTTTTCCTACAGGGTAGCTGGTGGGTTTTAACCTTGTGATTAGCAGGTGCACACCTTAACCACTGTACCATCGGAGCTTCTTTTGTTAAAAAAAGTATAGGTCCTTTAAAATGGGTATGAAACAGCAAACTAACTAACTATGAGAAAGAAACAAAGATGTCTCTGGAAAAAAACAAAAACAGAACTATTACATGTAGTTTTTTTACATTCATCTAATTTTTTAAAGTGTGAGTCTGAATATGTAATACTTACTTACTAAAAAAAAAGGATGGGAAGTCTTAACCAGAAGCTACGAGACAGACATCTGGGCTATAACTGGGACATTAAAAAATATATAAGGGGCATATTAGATAGAGATCAACCCAGAAACTTTCTGAGCTCCCAGATCACAACTATGAGGTCTATCTGAGGATTCTTTTTCTTTTACTGTAACCTTCTCTAGCATGGCTGTTAGGTTGTTGTTAGGTGCCATCGAGTCAGCTCTTACTCACAGTGACCCCATGCGGAACAAACAGAATGAAACACTGCCCAGTCCTGCACCATCCTCACAATCCCTGCTATACTTGAGCTCATTGTTGTAGCCACTGTGTCAATCAATCCAGTTGAGAGTTTTCCCCTTTTTCACCTTCCACTTTATCAAGAATGATATCCTTCTCCAAGGAATGGTCCCTCTGACAACAGGACCAAAGCAGGTGAGACGAAGTCTGGCCATTCTCACTTCCAAGGAGCATTCCAGATGCACTTCGTCCAGAACAGATTTGTTCTTCTGACAATCCATGGTATTTTCAATATTCTTCACCAACAATTCAAAAGCATCAACTCTTCTTCTGTCTTCCTTATTCATTGTCCAGTTTTCATGTATATATGAGGCAACAGAGTCACTGTACCAAAAAGAACTGATCGATCTTCATCCATTTCAGGAAGTGGCATATGATCTAGAACCAATGGTAATGAAGGAA